TTCCTTCCTTCCTTCCTTCCTTCCTTCCTTCCTTCCTTCCTTCCTTCCTTCCCTTTTTGGTCATCATGGGGCTTGAACTCAGGGCCTAGGCATTGTCCCTGAGCTTTATAGCTCCACTTCTAGTTTTCAGGTGGTTAGCTGGAAATAAGAGTCTCGGGACTTTCCTGCCTAGGCTAGCTTTGAACCTCAATCATCGGATCTCAGCTTCCTAAGTAGCTAAGATTACAGGGGTGAGCCATCAATGTCCAGCTCAGAGGCCCATTTTTGATAGTGTATATGTCCTGTTATAAAGAGCAGTCCAGGAAATACAAACTTTTATTTTTAGTTTGAGGGTAAGAGCTATAAAATTATGTTTTATAACTGACTTGTTTAAGACTGGACATTAGTGTATTATGTAAAAATATTTTTCTTTACTTTTACTGACATATACAGTGTAGTAATGAGGTTGAAGTTTCTTATGAAAGTTCCCTTACTTCTGTTTCAGGATAGATAAGGATGATTTGGGATTGGTTTTATATGTGAACAAAATGCAGTATATAGTATTTATTTGGCAGCTTAAGGGCCCTTTCTAAAGCAAATTTTAAATTCTCATAAAAGATAATAGTAATAGTACATTTGATTACTGTCAGCCAAAATAGAGTATAATAGGGCACTTGTGGCTCAAATGTAGATTGATCATAGGTGACATATGAGTTACTAATTTAACTTTTTAAATTTTATTTTATTATACATTTAGTTAAAATATTAATATACAATGAAATTATATAACATAAATTATGCAGATATAAAATTGCTAAATTGTACAAAAGGAACTATTACTTGTGGGGTTTTATTCAGGAAAAACATTCTATGACTAAAACTCTCCTAAAACAACATGAGAAAGCTCTTCTCCAAATACATCAAAAATTATATACTGATATTTAGCTAAATATGCTTTCTTGTTGTTTCTCTTAGGAAGTCATTATAAATTTAAAATGCATTCAAATAAACCACTCTGATTACAAATTGTGCATTCTGTTTCACAGATGATCACTGTGTGAGCCGCTGTAACTCCCAGAGCTGCATATTAGCCCAAGAGGAAGAACAGTATCTGCAGAGTGGGGACCAGCAACTGACAAGACATGTCTTGCTGTGTCTACTTCTCATTATTGGCTTGTTTGCTGTAAATGTTTCATCTGTTTTTGTTTGAGGGCTATTTATTAAAGTTACTTTATGGAAGTGTGGTAGATAGGCCATCTGAGTTCTAATTTGAGCCATAGGGCATTCACATCGCTCTGCTGTCTAAATGCTCCATTCAACTGTTCTGTTTTCACTCACTCATTTCTCATTCTATGCTTTGAAGGTGGGATTTGGCAAAAACATGTTTCTCCACATTATGTGCAAAGTCACTCCTAATGTACTTGACTGACCAAAAGTAGAGGACAGGTGGTTACAGTATCTCTCACAGAAAGAAACTAAGCCAGGCTCCTGTGTAGCTTGGAATGACAGGCATGCACCACTGCACCCAGCTGTGTGTTGAGAAGGGATCTCTTGGACTTTTCTGCCTCTTCCAAACCTTAGTTTCGTAAGACAGGGGCTTACTAGGTAGCTCAGATGGGTCTTAAACTCGCTATGTAGCCCAGGTTAGCCTCAAATTCTAGATCCTCCTTTCCTAGCCGCTTCAATGCTAGGGTTGAAGTGCTTACCACCACTAGATCTGACACTCTAAGCTCTGCTTCTATTTTTTTTAATTTTTTATTGTTATTATAAAAGTGATATACAGAGTCTAATATTTTGGGGGGGGTTCCAGTCATGGGGCCTGAACTCTGGGCCTGGGCGCTGTCCCTCAGCTCTTCAGCTCAAGGCTAGCGCTCTACCACTTGAGCCACAGCACCACTTCTGGCTTTTTTCTTTTTGCTTATGTGGTGCTGAGGAATGGAACCCAGGGCCTCAGGCATGCAAGGCAAGCACTCTACCACTGAGCATGCAGATTTATATACTTTTTTTCATTATTTCATGTTGCTGCATAGTGTCTATAACCATTGCTTTAAATGGCTTTCCAGTAAGTCATAGGAAAATTATAATTTATTCAACTACTAATTTATTCCTAGATTTTTTTCAAATTTTTTTTTGCAGTACTAGAGTTTGAACTCAGTACCTTGCATTTGTGAGTCAGGTGTTCTAACACTTAAACCATGCCCCAGCCCTTTATTTATTTATTTATTTACTTTTCAGTCATGGGGCTTGAACTTAGGGCCTGAATGCTGACCCTTTCGCTCAAGGATAGCACTTTACTACTATGATCCACAACACCACTTCCAGTTTTCTAGTGGTTAGTTGGAGATATGAGTCTTACAGACTTTTCTGCCCAGGCTGGCTTTGAACTGTGATCCTCAGATGTCAGCCTCCTGAATAGCTATAATTTACAGGCAAGAGCTACTGGCACGTGGCTTCCCTTATTTTTTAATATTGGTTTGTGCTCAGGCTGGCCTGGACTGTGATGCTCCCTTTTATGCTTCCTGAATAGCTGGCATGACAGGCAGGTGCTACCATGAGCAGCTTTTATTAGTTGAGACAGGGTCTTTTGAACTTTTCGTTGGGACTAGCCTTGAACTACTTCCCAAGTAGCTAAGATTACAGGCATGCATCACCAGCACCCACAGGCTTTCAAAATACCCTAATAATTAGCTTCATGCAGTATATTTACTAATAGATTCCCAATGTTGAGAAATCTGGATCAAAGAATAGAAACATCTATGACTTGGAATACATTCTACTAAATTGGTTTTCAGAAATGTAGTCTAGATATATAAATTGCCCTGACTAGTATCAGATATTATTAAATATTTAATTTGATAATTTATAAGTGAATTATAGCACTTTATTTTGGAATGCATGCATTTCTTTATTAAAGGGTTTTAAAATAAATTGTATATCCTCTTTTGTTAATTTTCAGTTACTTCAATATATTTTTAAAGATGGTGCAAGAGTAACTAGCTCTAAAGAGGTGGGAGATGGACCACATAACTTATAAAGTCTTTTCACACTTGGCATATATAGTATGATATCAGCTAGCAGCACTTTAACTGCTGCTTAAGAACAAAAATCAAAAAATGAGGCATGCTGCAAAGAACTACTGCTTAGTGATATAATTGTTTTCATTGTATGGGAGTAATTTTAAAATCTGTCCTGTCTTAGGCTAGTCGGCTGTCCTGGTGTATTATGTAAGCTTCTGTATAATGTCTTCTTGCTTCAAATCTGATCAGAATAGATGCTGTTTGAATGACATCTGTCAGGAGGAGAGGTTGAAACCTCTTGTTTGAAAGACAAAGCCTTTATATTCTGTCTGTGTTTTTCCCCTTTCATCTTCCCCCCTAATTATTAAGTAGATAAGTTATTGTACTGTGCTCTGGATGGAGAGAAATGATTAGCATGCTTCAGTGAAGTACTCTCTTCTCCTTTCATTACAGAATCTTTCCAGTTGTTTGTGGTGGTTATTCAACCAAGAGCCTGGAAAACTATATGTTGAGTTGCAGTTTTTTTGTGCCGTGTTTAACTTTGGCCAGGTATTTATTTACTGAGAACTTTGAGGGGGTTTTGTTTTCCTGGGTGAAATGATGGGCTAAATTGAAAGGGTTTAGTGTGTTTGCCAGCTGCTGATATATATATATATATATATATATATATATATATATATATATGACAGCTGACAGCTGCTGCTTCTTTCATAGTAGAGATGAATTATTATATTGGTTAAAGTCATCAGAGTGTACACTGAGGATTCCAGCTAGAAGTGCCAAATAGTCTTTGCTTTGGTTTTGAGAAAAAGATGCAAAAACAAGATGTCCTAATTTCTTTTTTTAATTTTTCATGATCTTAGTAACTGTCCCTAGGAATACCTTCTCTAAGTCTTTAGACACTTGAATTGATAAATACCATTTGGCTTCTATTTTGATGTTTCTTGCAAAATAAGTATATACTGTGACATGTAAATAAATTTTGACCAAGGATAATAGAGTTTATGGTGGGCCAATCATTGTTAAGCACTCTACAACCATTATCTCAGTTAAACACTAGAGCAATGCTTCCAAGTAGATATCATCATCTCCAGTTTGTTTGTTTTTGTGCCAGTACTGGAGCTTAAACTCAGGTCCTCTTGCTCCTACTTGGTTTTTCCATTTAAGGCTGTCAGTTTACCACTTGAGCTCTACCACTGTGCCTTTTGCTGGTTAAATGGAGATAAGAATCTTAGTTTTGGGCCGGGAAGTTGGTTGAGTGGTAGAGTGCTTGCCTTGCATGCATGAGGCCCTCGGTTTGATTCTTCAGCAATACATAAGCAGAAAAAAGCCAGAAGTGGTGCTGTGGCTCAAGTGGTAAGGTGCTAGCCTTGAGCTGAAGAGCTGAGGGACAGTGCCCAGGCCTACAGTTCAGCCCCCATAACTGACAAAAAAAAAAAGAATCTCAGTTTTCTGCCTGGGCTGGCTTCAAATCTCACTCCTCAGAGCTCAGCCTCCTGAGTAGCTAGGATTCTAAGCATGAGCCTCTAGCACCCAGCCAGCCCAGTTTAAAATGGATGTTTAATGCACAGAATGTTCAAGACTCTCAGATTGATTCCCAGCACAGAAAAAGAAGTAGTCAAGGGAAAATGATAACTTTCCTATTGAAAATTGTATATGCAAATTTCCAATTTTAATCTTCTCATTAATGCCTTCTTTTTTTCTGTGGTACTGGGGATGGAACCCAAGACCTTGCACATGCTTGGCAACATCCCCAGCTAAAGTTTTTACTTTTTGATTTAAAAATATTTGTCCATAAGTTGATGAATATCAAGTGAGGATCATGTTAAACTGTAAGATACTAGGTTGAAAAACTAGTTTCCCTTAGCATTTTGTATTAAGATAGCCCACTGACAGCTGACCTATCCTAAGACAGGGATTGAGAAAGCATCACTCCATAGAGGATTGTCATGAGCAGAACTAATGCCAGGAAGACTGCACTTAAAATGCTGCCCACATAGCTTATATCTCAAGTGGTTCAAAGGAGTGAAAGAAACCCACACCTCACTCCCATCTCGTTTTTCTTTGGGGGAGTTTATGTAGTAGTAAGATATTCTCTTACTGTTTGTAATTAAGGGGTGAATAAATTAGGCCCTTCACGTATATTTTGCATGTAAAATAGGCAATACTGCATTTTCCAGCCTACCAGCTACTAATCTGCACTCTTGTATGCCTGACAAATGTCAGCTAAAAGCCACTCTCTCCCCAAGCATCCCCATATCCTCCTGATCTGTGACTAGTACCATATGTTCAAATCCTTCACACCTGTTCTCTGGCCATGAGCCAGAATCACTTACATAAATTCTCTCCATTTTCTAAGTTAATCATAATTGCTATCCCTGTGACAAAATACCCAAGTAAATCAAGTTAACAGGAGAAATTATTAATTTTGGCTCACAGTTTTAGAGGTTTCAGTACATGATTAGTTTCCCTCATTACTTTAGACCTTTGACAAGGCTAACATTATGGTAGAGAACTCAGAGTTGAGCAGTTACTCACCCCATGGCAACTGGAGGGAAGGAAAGAGAGAGATGGAGAGGCAGAGGGATGAGTAGGGGGAGAGACAAACACTTAATGATAATGCCTCATTCTGTGACTTACTTCTTCCCACCTCATCCCCCTCCCAATACCTATGAGCTCAACAATGTGTTAGTCCATTTATGAAGTTAGAGCCTCTTGAACCAGTTACCTCTCAAAGCTCCACCTTTAACATTGTTATCAGGGATCACACCATCAATACCTGAGTTTGGGGGAGCACTTCACATCCAACCCATAACAGTTAATCTATTATAATCAGATAAATTATATGAATTATATAATTTCCAAAGTTTCAACTCAAAATAAATAAGCAGAGTGAGAAACATTTTCAAAAAGGAGAAATATACATATAGCCCTTAACTGTTTTCATTTTTCTTCAGCAAGCTGGCATGTAAATGTGGTTGGTCAGTGCCTGTTTGTATCACCTATCATAATTAGTATGACTTCTGGCCATCGGTAGCTCATGCCTGTAATCCTAGCTACTCAAGAGGCTGAGATCTGAGGATTGCAGTTCAAAGCCAGCCCAGAAAGGAATGTCTGTGAGACTCTCTATTTCCAATTAACCACCAGAAAACTAGAAGTGGAGCTGTGGCTCAAAGTGGTACAGCATTAGCCTTGAATGAAAGAGCCATGGACAATGCCCAGGCCCTGAGTTTAAAACTCATGACTGACATCATCTTCACCATCATCATCATCATCATCATCATCATCATCATCATCATAATTAATAGGACTGAATGAGGCAGCTAGGTATCATGCATGCCTCCAGGCACTGAATTTTAAGGGCCTGCCTTGTCTGTTTCATTTTAAATGTTGTTGTTATTACTATCAACTGCTTCCTCAAGCACTGCATTTGGTGGCTTCCGTAGTTTTTCTGACTTGAAATTTTATTGTTTAATCCAGAAAAAAAAACTTTGTTTTCTTCCCTAGGGATTTATTTCCTTTGGAATCTTTGGATTGGACAAACATTTAATCATCCTACCTTTCAAAAGAAGGTAAATTTAGTTTTGAAATAAATTTATATCCTTCTAAAGGTGAAAATCTATTCTATTAAGATACGATATTTTCATATCTTTTTTCATAACTGTTAGGAGTTATAAAATGATCAAGTCACCACCTAGCCTGTTTTAAATAGGAAAGTGAATTTATAACAAGTATGCCTCTGTTTCAGAAACTGATGGTGTCTGGGTATTCCAGCAAGCTTTGAAGCAGTCATTTTAAGGGGGCAGAAAGGATTCTCTCAGTACTTTCCTTAAAAATAGGCTACTTAAAAATTGTTTTTTTTTTCAGGCTTGAATTTCTATGGAATAATAAAGAAACAGCAGAAAGCAGAGATTCTCCTGTTTCTGAGGAAATAAAAATGACTTGTCAACAATTTATCCATTATCATCGTGACCTCTGTATTCGAAACATTGTCAAGAAAAGAAGGTAAGCCAATTACCAGTATAGATTCCAGATAATTATATTTACATGATTAATTTTGGATTTTAACAGGCTAACAGTTCTGGGGCCATTTGTAGTTTAAGAAATGGCATATAAAAAGCCATATCACTTTGATTTGAATGTCTTTTTAAATCTATCTATCTATCTATCTATCTATCTATCTATCTATCTATCTATCTATCTATCTATCTATCTATCTATTTTTGCCATTTCAGAAACTTAAACTTAGGGCCTGGGTGCTATCTCTGAGCTTCTTTGCTCAAGGCTAGTGTTCTACAACTTGAGGAACAGTTCAACTTCTGACTTTCATTTTGTTAGTTTATTGGAGATAAGAGTCTCAGGGACTTTCCTGCCCAGGCCAGCTTTGAAATGTGATCCTCTGATCTCAGCCTCCCAAATAGCCTCCAGCACCTACCATGATTTTAATGTCCTTTAAAAGTCATATAGTCTGGAGTCTGTGGCTCACGCCTATAATCCTAACTACTCTGGAGGCTGAGATCTGAGGATCTCAGTTCAAACTCAGCTCAGGCAGGAACGTCTATGAGATTCTTTTTTTTTTGGGGGGGGGTCCGGTTGTAGGGCCTGAACTCTGGGCCTGGGCTCTGTCCCTTAGCTCTTCAGCTCAAGGCTAGCGCTCTACCACTTGAGCCACAGCGCCATTTCCGGCTTTTTTCTTTTTTTGCTTATGTGGTGCTGAGGAATCAAACCCAGGGCCTCAGGATTGCAAGGCAAGCGCTCTACCACTAAGCCACCTTCCCAGCCCTGTCTATGAGATTCTTATCTCCAATTAACCACCTGAAAACTGGAAGTGGAGCTGTGGCTCGAGTGATAGTGCTAACCTTGAGCTGAAGAGCACAGGGACAGTGTCCCAGCCAAGACCCATGACCAACAAAAAACAACAAAAGAGTCATACAATTTCTGTTTCTATATAAATTGTAAATCTTTAAAGGGAACTCTAGAAATGGCAGAATGCCAACATTTACTTCATGTTGTCTATTCACTTTCTAGCCTCTCATATATTAGACTGCAAGTTGATTTTATATTCCAATAATGCCATGCTATTTCATATTATTAGTGCTACTCTCAAGAAAACAAAATGGAGCCGGGCCGCTGGTGGCTCACACCTGTAATCCTAGCTACTCAGGAGGCTGAGATCTGAGGATC